TCTATCTATCTATCTATCTATCTATCTATCTATCTATCTATCTATCTATCTATCTGACATTTTTATCTGTATTTCGGAATGTCCAGAAAGTCTCTGAAATATTGGTTCTCAATTATCTACTTTCTGTGTCTACTGGAATATTTCATATATTTTTGTATGGAAATGACCTACTGATCTCCACCCTATCATCATTTTGCCTCATCAAGACTTCTTCCTCAGACATTTTCCAAGCAGTAAATGCTGCCCCCACCCACCTCTGAAACAGCCAGTCTAGAACACTGGATAGAGTCTCCTGTTCTCCATCTATTCCTGGCCACTCTTAACTTTCAATTGGATTTTAACAGGAGTTTCTCAGTTAGAGGTAAAGATTAGGGCAAGCTGGGATAGGAGTGTACTGGAGGCCTGAACCTACTGGAAGAGGTACCTATGCTGTCCCCAGATCACCTCCTGGCACCTGCCCCTGCTGTCTCTGCTCCAGCAAGCCACATCCCATAATGCACCAGGACCTTTCTTTCCTTAGCCTATTGACATGATTCAGTTGTCTTCAATTCTTTCTAGACTACTCTTAGTGCTCAATCCTTTAGGGTACTATCTGCACATCTCCTGTCTTAGGAACATCTTTCTTGCCCCTCACCCCTGACCCCAAACACTCTGTGCTAACCCTTTCCAAATTAGTCTCTCCTACTATGTGACCTATCATTGTGATATTTCCCAGTTATAATTATTTACTTAAATGCTTACTAGTGAGTATATATATATATCCCTATCAGAATACAACCTTTGGTTGCTGTCTTACAAACACCAGAGGTTGCTAAATGTTACACTGTAAACAGTGGGGAACTAGCAGGGCTATGGCCAGTGGCGTATGCCTTTAATCCTATTGCTCAGAGGCAGAGGAACGAGGCAGCCTGATCTACATAGTGAGCTCCAGGACTGTTAGAGCTAAACAGAGATAACCTGTCATGGAAAACAAACAAAGAAAACAAAAACAAAAGGGTGGGGGACCAACATGGTGCCCCTAGGGAGTGAGAAGTTCACTGTTACAGGGATATAATGCAGCCAACTGATCAACAGGAAACAAGGTGAGAACTTTACTCCCAAGTAAAATAACTATGAACAACATCCTACTTTAGAAAGATGTTAGCGATTATAACTCAAGGTTTAATTTCGCTGTGCGTACGTGCCTGGTACAGAGGTGACCACACTTGGGCCTGAATTTATGCTAGAAGGCAAAGCGTGTGTAATCCAGTCAAACCTTAGCTTTTCCCAGGGTGGTCACTTTCTCCCGAAGCTCTGCGTGCTGTCTTTCCACGTCATCCAGGCTGCCTTCCACACCATCCATCCAGCTGGAGAACTGCCGCACGTCATCCTGGTAACTTGTCCACTTTGAGAGAGCTCCTTCCAGCTGACTGCAAGGGTTGGAAGTGTCAGTATCCTACTCTGCGTGTCCCAGTGGGTCTGATGTCTGCGTACTGGGTCTTCTGTAGCCAGCAGAGGGTCGAGAGGTCTGGGATAGATAGCTGGCCTGGGTGTACCAAATCTGACTCTAAACGTATGATAAAAACAGCCTCAGAGAGCAGGGGACATTTAAATCCAAGCTCCAACGTGGGACTGAACATGACCTCTAGAGGGTCAAGGGGGATCCCAGGCACTGGGAGACACTGAAAGCCACCCAGAGTGGGATTTCTGGGTCAAGTCAGGGTAGAATACAAACCAGAGAATCTACATTTACTCCCAGCAGGTCAACCCACAAGGCTATTCAGGGTAGGAAGGACAGAAAAGCGTGCCTACCAGAGGGAAGGACAAACTCAGGAAAAGTAAGCACAGTGACCATTTTGCATGGAATTTAAAAATCAGGAAATCACAATGGAAAATGGCGTAACAGCCCCTGAAGTGGCCGAAATATGGAAACTTGACATTTCCCTTGCCAATAAGTACTTCCTTCACTCAATGCACACGTCACATAGTTAAATGCCGTGAGTTTTTGCGACTAATTTTCACATGGTGGTTGGCACTGGCAGGTACCGCCAGTGGGCCCTCGACTACCCTCAGGTCTCCACAGGACTGCCCTGGACTTCCAGTTGCTGCAGACTGGATCTTTCAGGCTGAGGACATTCCCTGGTTCCTGCTGTATTCCCAAATTAAGAGTTCTGAAAACAATGAGTGCCAGGACCTGTTACCCCCGATAAACAGCTCTCAATGCCCTCCAGTGTCCTGTGTCCTGGTTGTGTCATTACCAGTGTCCCCACCCTCTGCCCTTAAATGGCACAACTTGGACGCACTAAAACATCACATGTGTCAACCAGACAAGAAAGTTCCAGCTGTGTACTGTGAGGCTGGTTTGATGACATTCCTTTCCTGATCACTCCTTGATGAATATCTCAGTGAGAATCCTCCTGAGTGAATCACTTGGTTTGAATCAAAATATCCCCATTTTATGAAACATTTATTATCCTTTGAATTTTTTTTTTTTTTTTGCATCAATCAGCAACAAAGAAATACACGTTTTAGGTATGTTAGAGAATAGGCAGTTATTTCAGGCCAGCTGAATGCAAGGACGTATGCCCTCGATTCTCTTGCTCTTTAGAGCTCTTATAGGAATCGGAGGTGGTGGGGGCAGGGCAGTAAAGCAGTAAGAGAGGAAGGGTGGGAGGAGGAAAGAAAGGGAAATAGGAAGTGGTAAGAAGGAAGGGAGGAAGCTAGGGAGGAAATAGCCACCACTGATGTATTCTGGTGTCTCTCAGTCATGGCTCTCTGGCTGGCCCTGGGCACAGCTTCACCCACCTTTTACATCGAATGGCCGCAGACAAGAGGGACTCCCACATGTCCTTCACGGCCTGCAGCTGCTGCTGTACAGCAGGGCTGCCTTCTGGGGAGGTGCTCTGCAGAACATAGTCCCCGCGGGTCATGATTATTTTCATCTGAATCTCTTTTTCCTGTTTCACTGACAACAGAGCCTGTTAAAAGCAAACACAGAAGTCCCTGTATTTATATGTTTAATATTCTTGCCTGTCCATAGTTCAGAGGGCCTGGAGATTCAAGGTCTCTGAGTGCTCTTTGCATCATAGTCTTGGGTCTTCCCTGTCTAATTCCTTCCTTCCACATTGCATTTTCCTGGTTGAATCGGGGGGGGGGGGGGCACCTATAAATCATGGGCCCTCAGAGTTCTCAGGATGGAAAGTACCTATGTATCCAGTATGGACTCTGTGTAAATGGGCCACAGGGATCAAGTTTTTCATGGACACTATTGCTTTTGACAGGAAAAGAAAATGTAAAGTCAAAGTTGCAAGACTGATAGTATCTGTCAAAATGGAAAACTTCTGGTCATTTCCTACCCTATGTCTTATACCCACTGCAGCTCGGCTGAGCCTTTAGTGGCCCTGGGTCTGCCCTTGGGTCTGCCGTGTCAAGAAGGAACATCAAGCTTGCCCTCAGTTAGCACATGGGCTCTTCTCTCTAGCTTTTACTTCCATTTTCTTCTCCCACAAATCTCCATACAGTCATCTACACCAGGACATTCCCTCTTTCTTTAAAAAGCAAAAACAAAAAATAAAAAACAACAACAAAACACATTTACTTTGTGTAAGGGAGGGGAGGGGAGGAAAAAGAGTGAGTGGGGCAGGAGAGACAGAGAGACAGACAGAGGCAGAGACAGAGTGAGACAGGAAGAGGACAAATTGGGAGAGTTGGTTCTGTCCTTCTATCGAGTGGTCTCTGGAACTGGACTCAGCTTTAATGGTGCCTTTACACACTGAGCCATCGCACCAGCCCATCTATCCATCCTTCCTAAAAGCTTGAGTTAGCTGTTAGACTTCCTGAGATTCTTGCTGCAATGTTCAACCCCATCTCTCCTACACTGTTCATTCCAGTATGTATCTATAACACACACACACACACACACACACACACACACACACACATATCACCATCTGTGCCCATTGTCTCCTACACTTTAGCTTCAGTGTCAGGCAACACAGCTATGGAGAGCAAAGGTCACGTTCTATTCATTTTTGTTCACAACAGAGTGCCAAGCCGCTGAAAGGCACTGAAGTTACAAGGAAGAAGTAAAAGAATGAAGATTAATAATTGTCATTACAAATCCAAAATAAAATTGATATTTCATGATGGGAGAAGAGTTGACTAAATGAAACTGGCAGAAAAGTAAGATGAATAAATGAATAAAATATTTCACCCAAGCTGGACATGTTGGCACACACCTGTAATCCCGGCACTTGTTGAGGCAGGGGCAGGTGGATCTTTGTGAGTTTGAAGCCAGCCTGGTCTACAAAGCAAGTCCAGGACAGCCAAGGCTACACAGGGAAACCCTGCCTCAAAAAAACAAAACAAAACAACAATAATAACATCAAAAACCAAAACCAAAAATAAAATGTTTCACCAAAATACTTCCTCAGAATTCATGTGTCTGTGATGGAATTTGAAGCTAGTTTCTTGATCAACAACTAAACATATAACCATTATTTGTGTCTTATTCTTTTCTGTGCTGTTCGTGGATGTCAGAGCCTAAATGAATGATTAAAGCTTAGAAAAGATCATCAAATGCAGGCAGAAACACATCCACTGAGCATTGAGAAATTTCCTGTAGACAGAAGACCACATAGTCACAGCACCCAATAGGGACTTGAGAAGACACTGTGCCAGAGAGACACCTCTCTGTGTGTGTACCTCCAGCTTGAGCATCCTGCTATCCAGCACACTCTTGTCAGATGTGGGGAGGCAGTACGAATCCAGCATGTGGACGGCATCTGTCATCCAATCCTGCAGCTCTTTCACGCCCAGGGAGAACTGATTGTGCTCAGTGACAATTCTGTCCAGCCTGGACACCTTCTCCTGGAAATGACAGAGATGGTTTTCTAGCTGTCGCCCCCCTGAGAGTTCACACCCCACAGCTACTCATACTGGAAACTCACACTTCATCAGTAACTAGCACAGGCCGTTGCAGGGGCTGCCCAGAAAAAGTGCAAGTCTGGCTATTTCATGAAGTACGAGATACACCTTTCTAAGTAGTGACAAATCTGTACAATAACTATGTCAAAGGGCACAACAGTTTCAACCCACTGCCCTCAACAGATATACTTATGAGAATCACGATTTACTTTTTATCCAGTAGAATTTCTCCCTAATGCTGACTGACATTTAGTCGTTGTCTTTAGCTTTCACATATTATATTGGGTTCAACCAATAGCACACATTCTTACAGACCTATACTGTAGAAGTCTTAAAAAATAGTGATTTGATATCTTGTAACAATTCCAAATTACATGCATATAATATGTGTATATTTGGTTGAAGCACAAAGTACTTCTGCACAGGAGTGGAACCGAGTGTGGGGCCTCAGTACAAGTGTAGAAGACATAACACATCCATCTGCATTTTAAACGACAAGAGAATGTACATGACTTTCCTACTTGCTTCACTTCAGGTCCTATCCAACAAAGTGGACGAAGACTTTCCGCAGCACTCAGGCTCTTAGAGCACTCAAATGTCTCTTGCTCTTTAATATCTAAGCAAATGCAAATAAATAAGAAAGGTTTTGTTTGGAAAGGCTTTTGTACTTTGGTTATTTATTTATATGTTTGAGACAGGGTCTTGTTTATACAGGCCAGCCTGGCTTTGAACTCCTGGCACAGCCCAGTGTGGCCTTGAACTTGCAGCAACCCCCTGCCGTTGCACCTTAAGTCCTGGGATTCCACCAAACACCAGTTGCAAATAGTTGTTCTTCATCCATTCTAACTTTAGGTATGTGCCAGATTTTCTAAAGTGAGATGAAGGCAGCTTTTTCATCAAATAACCAGGGCTACAGATGGAGACAGTTCACATTAAGACTGGGTGAAGACCCAGATTAGCAGATCAGAAGTAACGTCACAGTGAAAATGGACACGGCCACATTATTTAAAGATCCACAAAAGATGACAAAATCTCTAAATGCTTAAATCTGACATTTAAAAGAAGGAAGCAGAGGTGCAGTTTGTACAAGCTTGAAAGGCGTGCCCCATTCATGAGACCTGCATCAGTCTCGCAGGGTTCACTCCTATGTGTACCCACAACTTCATTCTCGGGTCCTTGAAGGATGCATTCAGCTAAGCTAGTCATTGCCAACTCCAAACTCTGCTCTCACATCTTAACTGAAGCTATCAACTAACACATTCTTAATTGCCATACAACAAATCTGTAGAAGCCAGATGATGTTTTTAAAAATTACCCTAGACTTATTGGATGGCTCTAATACAGTTTAAACTGCTTTTGGGTTCATGAATTTTTTTTTCCTGTGTGTGTGTGTGTGTGTGTGTGTGTGTGTGTGTATGTGTGTGTTTCTAATTTAATCTGAGTGTCTTCGGCACAGAACCTTGCTTTAGGGTTATGTGTTGAGCCTTCAAATCAAAGTGCCATCATTTTGCTAATGATGCAGATTGGCACTGTTTCCGTCTTTGCAACATCCCTCGCTGACCTCGGGGAGCCACATAAAGAACTGTGGTAAAAGTGATGAGTCCAGTTTCAAGGTGAGGGGGATGACCCGGAGACACTCCTCTGTGAGGGTGTCAGGAGGGACCCCGCGTGACCTATCGGCATTCCAGTTCTGCGACATCAGAATCACGCTCACACACAGCACATGCCAGGCGTTACCTTGGTCACATTGCTTAGCGCTAGATACCGAGAAGACAGCTGCGACACTCTGTGCACAAAGCTCTTGCTGGCAGCTTGCCCTTCCCACAGCTGCCGAGCTCTCTCCTTCAACCTGTGGAGCTGAGGCTCGTAGCACTGGAGCTCCTCAAGGACAGACTGGAAAGCACAAGCGGGTTACCATTCAGAGCTGGGGCAAGCACGCTGAGGACGGAGCCTGGGCCCAGAGAACATGGAAATGAACACTGACAAGCAACTCAAATCTCCTGAAGGATGTATTCATTATTTTCAAGCTACACACAGTGGACTGCTACAGGAAGAAAACAAACCATGCCTCAGAGGTGTCTCGGAAAACATTAACTCAGTTCTGTGGGAACACTGCGTTAAGGTGGTGTTAGCTAAGACCAGGGCTCCCAGCATGCATTTGGCCAGAGTTGACAGAAAAAGGAGTGACGACAAGGTCAGATGGCCGGTCCCATCACCTGCAGTTTCTGCTGTTCTCTCCTCTTCGCGGGCAGGTCATAGAGTCGATTGCTGCTCTCCTGGACCAGCCTCTCTGTTTTACTCAGCCAGTTCTGCACAGGCTCTGCGCTCACCTCAAAGTCTTTCATCTGGATCTTTAGATTCTGCAAGGGTTTAGATAATGTCAGCGATGGATGAGCACACGTGAATCCCAAGAGGCTGGGAGAAGGCCCACCAGTAAGTACCCTCTGCAAAAGGGCAGGCATATGGATTTAGTTCAGAGAACCAACGTGACACAAACAAACAAAGCAAGCACGGTGGCATGGGGTTGCAATCCTAGAGCCGAGAAGGACACACAGAAGGATCCCGGCACCATCTCGGCGCAGACCGAGACCTTGTTGATTAAATGTGATCAAAGAAAACACTTGATGTCAATCTGACCTGCACACACGCACGTGTACACACACACACACACATACACACACACACATGTATATACACACACACACACACAGAGAATACTTCATCCTTGCATCCTTGACCTGAGCACCTCTATGACTCTGGAATGTCCTTTAAGAATGTTTAGGCCTTGACTTTCAAAAGACAGCCACTTTCTTTAATTCTCCAAATGGCTCTTTCGAATTTCTATACATTCGCTTTTTAAAACACAAGTTTGTCCCAGGCAGGGGTGGGCTGCCGTGTCCCCACCTGATGCAGCTACGCTGGCCTCTACCCTGAGACTACACGACGTTGGTAAGAACTGCTTAACGATAGGGCACGCAGCACTGTACATAAATACACACACGTAATTTATGCATTTATTATGCTCTCTCTCTGTGTGTGAGTGTTTGTGTGAGTGTACACAGGTATGTGAGAGCACATTTGTGCATGAATGTGTTCCTATAAGGTCAGCATCTTGGAAACTTTTTTCAGGATTGGTGCCCACCTTAATTTTTATTGTAATTCTTAAAGATTTATTTTGTTTTTGGCTCTGCATGTGTCTGTGTGTGTGTGAGAATATGCGTGTGAGTGCAGACATTTGTGGAGACAGGAAGAGGGAGCTGTAACTGGAGTTCCAGGTGGTTGTGAGCTGCCTGCTGCGGGTGAGAACTAAGAAACACTGAGAATCATGTGTTCATCACGTAAGGTCAGTATAAGCATTATTATCACTTTCATAGACTCTCTAGGTAGCACATTAAAGCATGCTGATAATGTATTACACATTTCACTGTGGCAAAGAAATCTATTTCTTATAAATCACTAGATTCATATGACTGTTATTAAAGAGTTAAAGGAATTTTAGGTAGTTTTAATAAGGCACCAGGTCCATAAACTGTCAGGTGGGAAGAAATGAGCACTATAGAGCCTACTGGCCATTAACTCAAAGCTCTCTCTGCATCTGGTCCATGGTATTGATAGAGCTGGCATGTGATGATGTCTTTCATGTTTTCCATAGGGTGATGAATTAGCTATAGGAATGCATCAGAGAGTTTAAAACACCTCTCACAGGTAGGATTATCAAGAATGACCTCTGATAAAATGTAAAGTTCATCAGAGCAGAGGGCTTGTTCTGTTTGTTTGTTTTCTGCCGCATTCCCGGAGTCTGGATTAATTCTTGTCAAATACTAACTGAATAATCAAATGCATTTGTAAATTCAAGGCATTTTTATCCTCCTGTTATTGCTGTTTCGTGGAGCTGCTAACCATGGTGAACTAGGGGATCAGGACCTAAAACCATGGTTTGCAAATGCCTCAAGGAGCACAGAAGAAAGACAGGTGCTCCATCTGTGCAGCGACGGTGTGCTAATAACAAGCCTGAGCTTGACCTGGACTTCAGAGCCCCTTCTGAGCCTTTGGAGATAGGCACGCACTTCTGTCTGCAGAGCTGCAGGCTTCCTGCTGTGCTCGCTCTGCAGGCTTACCCACCCACTCCTCCAGCGTCTCTGGTTCTCAAGCCCCTTGTTACTCTAACTGCATTTGTGAATCACCGAGGCCCTGTGCTGTGTCTCACCTGTCTTCATCAGTTAGCAGCTGTATGAATTTGGCAGCTTTTCAGCAATCCTGTACTTTTGTCTGTCTTTTTCTCCCTCCACTCCTCTCACTTTCCTCTCCTCCTTCCTTCTCTACTTACCTTCCTTTCCCCACTCTCCTCTTTCTTTAAATTATTTATTTATTTACCTATTTATTGACAGGGTCTCACTATACAATCCAGGATGGCTTCAAATACTTCAGCATTTGCTATGTAGCTCAGGCTGGCTTCAAATTCCTAACATCCTGTCTCTGTCTCTTCGTGTTAGAGTTTGGTACCACCGTGCATGGCTCCTTGATTTCTTCATCCACATGATAGAGACAAATGATTTATACTGACCAATAATGACTTAGGGAAGTGAATGTACTGGTGTATGTAACTGTCCACAGGACCAGGCACAGATAAATGCTCAGTTCTGTCATCTTTTCTGACCCTCAAGCTTCTGTTAACTGCTACATTCCTGTTCATTAGCCACGGATCAATTTCCAGGTACACAAAACAGAGTGTGGATTAAATTCACTCAGTCACTTCATCCCCCAAGACTATCCTTTACAACATATTTATAATCATTCATATCTCCTTATTCACACTATCTTACAGATGAGAAACTGAAGAATTAAACTTAAATTTGACACTTCCCCACCTTTATAGGTAATTGGCGAATCCTGTTGTGTTTTTTCCTAGAGATGAATCGTCTACCCTATTACTCTTTCTGTCTTTTAGACCCCTGCTGTGTACCACCAAAAGTTTCCTCTGCTTTTCTGGCTATGTGCAATTCCCCATTTTTGTTTATACTAGAGTCAGAAAGTTGTAATGTTTAGCTCTGGCTTTAAGGCCTGCAAATTACTTACTCAGTCTTTCTTAGGAATCTTCAGGAAAGAAACGAGTTCCCCTGGGAATCTGTTGCATGTAATGAGTTCTGTCCTCTGCATCTATAAGAACACCTGATTCCATCCTGGGGACACTGTCTTGCATCCTATCAGGGGAAACTGGTTGAGATTCTCTGTCAAATTACTTGACATGAGCCAGGTGCAATGGTGCACCCCTGTAATCCCAGAACTGGGGAGGAAAAGGCAAGCGGAGCTCTGTGAGTTTGAGGCCAGCCTGGTCGACAAAGTAAGTCCAGGACAGCCAAGGTTACACAGAGAAACCCTGTCTCAACCCACCCCCAATTACTTGACATGAGACATTTCACTGTGTGACCCTTATCTCCTCTCCATTTATCTCCTCTGCCTAAACTTCATGTCTACCTCAAATTTCTTGACATATTTCACTTCTTAACATCATTTACTATTTCCTGGACCCATGTACTCAGTTCTTTCTATGAGAAATGTGTGCCAATCTTGGAAAGATACATGGCTTTCAAGTGACAGTTTAAATGTCACTTCTCTGGATGCCTTTCTTGACTTCTCCAAACAGAGTCAATGGCATCTTTCTTGAGTGTCCATGCTTTATCCTGGACATTCCTTCATTACAGTCATCTCTTTCCTGTGAATTACCTTCTAGAAAATGAAATTCTGGAAACAAGACAAAGACTTGCACTTCTATTACCAAAAGGTATACTATATGTCTCCTCCTATTAGGAAAGGAGGGAGGAGATGGAATTGGACCAAATGAAATAGTCTGATACCCATGAGGCAGGACAGGCTAACAAAACTGTCAGTCCCTGAGCTCCCCTGTTCTTGGTCAATATTAGAGTAAAGTGATCTGGTCATGACAGCCAGATTCACATACAACTCTTGCTTTGGAGACCACATTGCACTAATGATATTACGGGGTCACAGGTAATTCCCAGGCACTGCATGGGTACCTAAATGCTTGCCATGAACAACATCTGCTTACAAGGGAGACCCCAAAACTCCTAGTGTATGAAAGAACCATGAAAGTGCATTTTCTTTTTCTGATGGTGATTTCCTATTATAATCTCCTTTCTATCTTATATTCATTATTCTCATCACCAAATTGAGGATCTATCCTGTCAGAAAATGTTTTCAAAGGTAATATGCCTTCCGTACATATAAGAGAAGAGTTAATACAAAGAATAAATAACCTCAGAAGAAAAGAAAGTCCACATTGTGGCGGAAATTATGATATGACATTAGTATGTTGTTTCTGTAGGAAATGGGATCACATGAATATTATCTTCCATCATATTTAACACCCCAAACTGGATGCTAGTGTGAGTTCTATGAACTCTGAGCCAACACTTGTGGCCTTGCAGGAATTTCTCTGCTCACTCTCCTGGAATAATTTTTCAAACTGCAGAGTTTCAAGTGAAAGATTAAATGTGACTCTCAGAAGTGAAATTGGCTGTTCCTGCAGGGATGGGCATGATGAGCCTGTGACAATAGCTCCTGTGTAAGAAGCCTTATAATCCTCCAGGGCTACTCTTGCTTCCAGCACTGAGCCCATCTTCCATCATCAGGTGCCTGTTCTTGTGCAAAATGGGATGACCAAAATCCCTGAAAACCCTGTGAAACATTGAACCAATTTCCCTGCCACCACCAAACCCCACAGAGCACCCCCAGGGGGTAGTTGTACTGTACCTCCAAGGCAGATTCCTTCTGGTGGAGATTTGCATGGAAATTTTTCCAGTCTTCTTTTGCGGTTACGATTTTGGCCTGGACATCTTTTGCTTTCTCTTTGGTTAGCAGAGAGCTCAGCAGCTCCCCTTTGGACAGCATCGTGTTTAGCTTATGCTGTCCATTTTCACTTTCTGACAGAAACTCCTATGAAAAAGATATAAAATTAGGTACCTCGAGATGAACAACCAAACGTTACATGTGGCTGCACCTCTGGCTGCCTCAGACACAAGCCTTTATCCTACAGCTTGCTGAAAACAATAATCTTACATGCCGGCCATAGTTGGAGCAAAAATTAAATGAAAATGACCCAGCCAGAGTACACAAGCACAACGGTATTTTGTACAAAGAACTCTGATTGTTTCCTGAGCCTCTTTTAAAACATAAAATAGTACATGGTTAAGCAGATGAGTGGGCTACTTTCCCTCCAGTCGTTTCAGGGGTTTATGTGAAATGTAAATTTCCTGTGCTACGATTTAATCTGCAGGTACACAAAGACCGAGAGTCGCATGTTAGTCTGACCCAGCACTGCCGTTAGCATTGTTGGCAGAGCTCTTACCTGGATCTTCTGAAGACTCGAAGAAACTTCACTGAGGTTCTGAGGAAGATCGAAACACTTGGCAGTGGAGATTTTTGCGTTAACCAGCCACTCCCGGAAGGCCCTGAAGGCCTTCCGGAATCTCTCCTGCAAAATCTGCTCTTGATTCTGGCAGCCCTTGGAAGCTTGCAAACAGAGACTGAAAGGGTGATTTGCAAATTTGAGGACAGAAGAAAAGTGACAAAGTTGATTAAAGTGACACCCAGTAGAATCCACAGTTCGTAGGAACGTGCATTTACCTAATCTGATACTACATTTCACTCTTAGTTAATTGATATTATCACTGCAATCATACTATTAAAACATTCTAGCTTCTTTAATATTTTTTATGCCAGGTCTTACTATGTGGCCTAGGCTGTTCTCCATTCCATGAGCTTACACAGCCCTCCTCATAAGCCTCCTGAGAAGCTGGAATCACAGACAACCATTCCATGCTCAGCTTCTCTCCTACTTTCTATGAACACATTTTAAAGCTAGACATAGCTTCATTTCCTGGGGTCATAGCTGCGATCCTCGCTTCAGCTGGGACTGGAGCAGGAACATCTTGACCACACACTGAGACTCTACCTCAAAGAAAATACAAATGGAAAGAAACTGTTTTTGAACAGTAGGACAGATCATGCTCACCAGTTGTATTCTTTAATTAACCCGGAGACTTTCCCACTGTATGGGCTCAGGTCCCTGGAAAACCGGCAGAGTTCATTCAGCTGAGACTTGAGCGCCTCCATCATAGGCTCGGCCTTTTGTAGAGAATCCAGGACCTCCTAACGGAGAGAAACAAGACAAGCACTGGAATCGGTGGCTTCATATCCTCACACTCTGTGCATACATTGTAAGTTGTTAGTGAGTGGCAAACCAACACAGGGAAGTCAGTGATGAGATGAGGCCCCTTTCCAGGAATGTTTGTAGCCCAAGGTGCCCTTGTGGAATCTGTATCTACTTCTGGCCATGGATAGACATTCCTGCCTCAAGTATAAAGCAGTTAAATGACTAAATCATCAATAATTTAAAGTAAGAACAAAGAGGAAACTACCTTACATTGTTTAGGAAAATGGTCCAAGTAGACTGTTTGAAACGTGTCTATCATTTAAGAGATTGAGTGATCGTTGAAAACAGTGGTTCTCGACCTTCTAATGCTGTGACTGTCTGATACGGATCCTTTTGTTGTGGCGACTCCAAACCATAAAATTATTTTGTTTTTGACACAGGCTTTCTAATGGGCTGTCCTGGACTCACTTTGTAGTCTATGCTAGCCTCGAACTCACAGAGATCCACCCGCCTCTGTGAGCCACTGCAGCTGGCTCATAAGATTATTTTTGTTATTACTTCACAACTGTAAATTTGCTACTGTTATGAATCATAAGTATCTGTGTTTTTGTATGGTCTTAAGTGACCCCTGTGACCTCTCAAGGTCATGACTCCTTGAGGACCAGTTACTTAAAACCACCATATATTTTTTACTTATGTGCCCCAGTTAATTTTATGCTGTATGTCCAGTCAACACTGATATTAATAATTTCTTCTAATCCACAGGTCTGATTTACCTACTAGCTCATACACGTCATGGTTTCATTCATGCCGACACCAAATCTTTGCTAGTGTCAGGTGTGACATTTGGGGACAACTTCCCTGCTTCATGAATGAAGGTATTGTTCTCCTCGAAGAGCCTGTAACTTAACTGATGAACAATATACAAATAAGCACAGAACTAGACACACCCAATCTCAAAATGAAACCCAGGATTGAGGAGTTTCAATTCCGGAATAAAAGCCACAGTCAACCGGCTCAACAATGTGCTTTGAAATTAGTGCATTCCTCTTATACGATGAATATCAAAGAGCAAATGAGATCCTGAGAGCCCAAGTCCTTAGCACGGCTCAGTGCCTACTTTGAAATATTACAAGGGAATAACAGCCAAATGTATAATGAAACTATACCAATAGTGTGACCAGAAAAAGATATTGTTACAACTGTATGCACACACATAAACACACACATGTGAACACAGATACACATATATGCCCAGATACTCATATATCCATACTTAATAAATATATACACACAATTTCATATACACACACAGTTTAAACTGTGGAGAAAGGACAAATAGGTAAAAAAAACGACTCTAGTGACTATTGCGGCTACTACTGCTGGTCTCAGGGACACTGATGGAGAGACGGCCCACTGCCCTCGTCGATACACCGGGCCTGTGTGCTGTCTTCCCTACATGGCTTTACTGATTTCTGGCTGCTGTCAATCAGAAGATTTGGCATCATGCTATAGCATAGAGTCATTTCCTCAGAATGAAGACCTTCCTTCCTGCAGGGAGAGGAAGCCTCTGAAGACACTGAAAACCCACAAAGCAAGGTTCAGGAAGGTTGTGAAATTTCTGTGACTTGGGATGTTCTGAGGATGACAAGGATCACAGGCCTCTTCCCAAGCTTATGGAGGCAGTGTGTGGTGGCTGGGGGAGAGAGATGTTTCCCCCTGCCTGCAAACGGAGCAGAAAGCCCTGCGGATGCAGCTTTCCTGAGCTGCCCCACACTGGGGTGAGGTGTTCGGTGACACAGCTTCTCCCGAGGCAGTCAGGCCTTTGGAAGGCGCCCCTCGGCACTCACTGGTTCACCAAGCCACACTCGGGTATTCTTTCTTTAGTGTGACACCTCTGACGTATTTGGGGTGAATGAATGTCTGCTCATATCTCCCCAGGAGAAGTCACGTTACACATTGTTCCTCTCTCGCTCCTGCAGAGAAGCCCAAGCTTAGTCTGTTCTAAGTCCTGGTTCTTTTAACAAGTTGCCTCCTTGGCTCCTCACGTTCTTTCTCCTGGTCTCCACTTATGTCCTATGTTTCCTAAAATGACATAATGGCTCTTAGGTGACTTCTGTTCTTGACTCTCCTTTCCTAAATCTCTCCTTGGTATTACCCCTCTGCCTCACTGATCTGATCAGGTTGTAATCATGCCCCAGGATTCAGCCCTACCACGGGTTCCTCAGGGACTTTCTGTGGTCCTTCTGGTTTCCCAGGGATGGTCATCCGAGGATGCTGTGCTGGCTAGCTCAAGCTAAAGTCATTTGGGAAGAGGGAACAGAGCTGAGATAATATCCTCACAAGATTGGCTTGTAGGCAAGTCTGTGGTACATTTTCTTGATTGAATTTTGAAACGGGTCAGCCCAGCTCATTGGGGGCTTCGGGGACAGGTGGTTCTGGGCGCTACGAGAAAGCAGGCAAGCCCAAAAGAGCAAGCCATGGAGAGCAAGCCAGTAAGAAGCATCTGTCCATGACCTCTGCATCAGTTCTAGCCTCGGGTTCCTGCCTTGAGCTTTCCTCAGTAATGGAGTGTGACTGGAGAGCTGTACTCTTAACTAAAACCCTCCACCCCAGGTGGTTTTGATCAGTGTTTTATCACAGCAATTGAAACGCTAACTAGGCCAGATGCACAGCATGGCCAGAGCCTTTGTCATAGTGTCCCCAGTAGTTTCATATGTCTCTGTCCACACAGATTGTGATCATAAAGTCAAGGGTGAGGCTCTCGGAATGTCCACATGAAGTTACTCAATGTCTGAGCTAGAGACTCTAAACCTTTTGGGCTTCTCCCTTCCCTTCCCTTCCCTTCCCTTCCCTTCCCTTCCCTTCCCTTCCCTTCCCTTCCCTTCCCTTCCCTTCCCTTCCCTTCCCCCTCCTTTTCCCTTCTTTCCCCTTCTTCTTCCTCCTTCTTCCCCCTTCCCTTCCCTTCCCCTCCCCCTTCTTCCCCTTCTTCCCTTCCCCTCCTCCTTCTTCCCCTCCCTTCCCCTTCCCTTCCCTACCCTTGCCCTACCTTCCCTTCCCTTCCCTTCCCTTCCTCCCCTCCCTTCCCTTTTTCCCTTCCCTTCCCTTTTCCCTTCCCTTTTTCCCTTCCCTTCCCTTTTTCCTTTCCTTTCCCTTTGCCCTTCTTCCCTTCCCCCTCCTTCCCCCTTCTTTCCCCTTTTTCTTCCCCCTTCTTCCCCTTCCCTTCCCTTTC